AATCTCTTGGACGCCATTCGGAAGCGAGTGCTGGTCGACGGCGTGCCGTACGTGGGCTGGTCTGCGGGCTCTAATGTGGCCGCGCCTGACATCGGCACCACCAACGATATGCCCATCATTTGGCCCCAAAGCGACTCCGCCTTACGTTTGGTTGACTATAATATTAATCCACACTATAATGAGTGGAAACCCGACGGACATCAGGGAGAGACCAGATCTGATCGCTTGAATGAATGCGTTGTCGTCAAGAAGAGGCCGATCGTTGCCATCAGCGAAGGCGTCGCCATCCAAGTGGAGGGCGACAGACATACAGTGATTGCGCCGAAATCTCTTTCCGCACACCAGAGGTATATCAAGATTTGGACATTTAATGCCAATAAAGAGAACAACATTGAAGTGATTGACGCGGCTTTCGGTCAAGACATCGGTCCCATTGTCTCCAAATGAAAACACTTGTTATTTCTATAACTTTATAAATGATTTATTATATTAAATATGAATGAATTTTGAGATACATTTGAATGAAATAATTATTTGATATTTTTTAAATATATTGTAAAACAAGAGATTTTATGAAATATTAATAACAGAATTGATAAATAAAATGAAAAACATTTTTCTTAAACGAATAATTTGTGTTAAATTTGTAAATAAAGTCTGAAAACTGAGATAAACGTAAAATTACACCAAAAATTACAGTCAAAAAAATCAAATCAATTAATAAAACAATTAAAAGCACTGATTATTGGATTAATTAAGAACTGCTTCGCAAAACAGATGTCCATATAATTGCATTCAATTGTTTTTGATTCAATTTCGTGGCGACAATACATCCAATCGTTGAGTATAACAAACAGAAAAACATGTCAATCAATCAAATGCCTTAAATGCTGTGCTTTTTGTTAAATATATAATGAATTGAAAGCAAATGAAATGTGAAAATGAATGGATGCGAAGCGATGGCCGACTACTTCTTCTGAATGTTGGATCGATCGCCTCTACAGTTGGGACAAAACCATTTGCCTTTGGGTTTAGAGTTGAGGGAAACGCACGAGAAGTGGAACCACTCGATCTTGCAGTCGGTGTTATCGCAACAAATCATTTCGCCGAACGAGACCTGATCGCAGAGGCAATACGTGGGCTCATCCGGATCTATGGGCG